GTGGAAGGTTTTGAGTGCCATGAAAGCTGGAAATTTATCTGTGAGAAGCAAATGGAGATTTGTAAACAAAAAGATTAATGTGATCATTCAGAAACCAGGTGATTAATGAGATTTCAGTCTGGGAAGATAAAAAAGAAAGTGGTCTGAAACTTTGGCTCTACCACATTAGCTGTGTGGATAAATCTTTAGACCAGCACTATCCAACAGCACTTTCTGAAATGATGGAAATATTCTAGACCCGCAAGGTCCACTATGGTAGCCAGTAGCCACATATGGCTATAGAGCATTCCAGATGTGACTGGTACAACTGAGGAACGAAATTTAAATTTTTTTAAATGTTAACTAATTTAAACTTAAATAGCCTCATGTGGCTACTGATGATACATTGGACTGAGCAGCTCTACACTACAGTTTTCTCACTTATAAAATACAGAGGTTAAATTAGAACACTAGTGTCACTAGGATAAGTTCCACAGCCAAATAAAGTCGGTGCCGCATTCCGAGAAAAAGTAAATGAGTATTCAAGCAGATGCACCTGAGCATGACTAGGGCGGTTCTAGGTTTTTAACCTTTTCATTTCACTCTTTGTAGCTCCATGATTAATTTAAGAGACCCACTCTGTCTTCTGATCAGTGATTTTTCAAATTGGTCTTTAGGCTGATGTTTCCTAGGAGTCTATAGTTAAATATCTAATGCATCTAATTTAATAGAATTTCTGTGGAAAGGAACAAACATTTCATGTAAAATGCTCCTAGAGCTATGCTGTTCAGTGTAAACATGTACTGGATCAAAGACTTAGTATGAATAAAAGAATGTAAAGTGACTCATTAATATATGTTGAAATGATAATATTCTGGATATACTGGGTTAAATATATTATGAAAATTAGTTTCACCTGTTTCTTTTTACTTTTAATTTATCTAATAGAAAAATCTTAAATTACACTTACAATTTGCATTAGACTCAATAATGACAGCCCTGCTGTAGAGAAAGTTATGAAATAGATACCTTACAGTATACATAATTTACTCAGTTAGTACATACTTATTCAACATCTATTATTGTAAAGCTTTATGCTAAGTGCTGAGATCTTAACAGTGAACAAAGGGAATGGTCCCTGCCATAGAGAGTTTAAATTAGCTCCTATACTTCTAATGCACATTTCACATATATTATCACATTTGTGATAACACATAAGAATAATTTAATTTTAGAATATTTTACCATTTGGGGGAGCAAATGCCAATATTTGACTTAGAAATTACAAAATATAAAGCATAAAGATTCACATTAATAGCTATTTTTGTGATACATGCTATATAATGTTTATCTGGAAGCCTAATACTATCACATTCCCAATAGCTTCTCCCGGTTTCTTGATCCCTCCAACTAGTTTGCTCCCTCTTTATGGCTCCCCTCTCCCAGACTGTCTCTTCAACTGGCAACCTGCCTGCTATTCACATTACAGCAGGGCTATTTATACTTTCAGGGGTCTCCAAAGAAGGAATGAGGTTGAAAATGTAAAGTGTACATAATTTTAGGCAGCCAACTCCAGTTTTTTGGACCCAACACTGAGATTTGAAGTTTCTTTTGGGCTTAAACTTGGTGATTTCTGTAGGATTTTGCTTCATAATCCAATGCACAAACTTATTTGAGAGAGAAAACAACTCATTAGTTTTGTCCCACTAAGGCTTTCATGTAAGAAAACTATTCCAAATAAGACTTCTAAAACAAATTAACTAGTAGTATTTCTCTAGCAAATGGTTTTTAAAATAAAATAACAGGTAACATCAACGGGTCAAGAATATATATATTTTGGGGCACCTGGGAGGCTCAGTCGTTAAGCATCTGCCTTGGCTCAGGTCATGATCCCAGGGTCCTCGGATCAAGTTCCCCCACCCCCACCCTGCATCACGCTCCCTGCTCGCTGGGAAGCCTACTTCTCCCTCTCTCACTCCCTCTGCTTGTGTTTCTGCTCTCGCTCTCTCTCTCCCTGTCAAATAAATAAATAAAATCTTAAAAAACAAAAAAGAATATATGTTTTTAAGGCTAATGGCATTGCTTTCAAGAAACTGTTACCAATAAACTAAACGTTCAGGTTTTATTGACAGCTACAAAGAAAGCAATACAAACAAAACTACTTTATCAAAAAGTGGTAATATTTCCCACTGTAATAGAGAAAGTATTACTGACATATGATAGCTATTGAGAAACAAATGCAGTACCCAAGTTTCTTTCCTTTTTTTTTTAAAGATTTTTATTTATTTATTTGAGAGAGAGAGAATGATAGAGAGCACGAGAGGGAGGACGGTCAGAGGGAGAAGCAGACTCCCCGCTGAGCAGGGAGCCCGATGTGGGACTCGATCCCGGGACTTCAGGATCATGACCTGAGCTGACCAGGATTATGACCTGAGCCGAAGGCAGTCGCTTAACCAACTGAGCCACCCAGGTGCCCCAAGTACCCAAGTTTCAAACACCCCAAATGATTTCACTGCCTTTTTTGGTTGAAGTCTACCACCATCTGAAATACAGATGTGGTTAGCAAAGGAACATCATTCTCAGACTATAGCTGTGCAGGTGTGGTTATACACATAGTTGTTTCAATATTATACATCTTCTACCAGCAAAAAAAAAAACTATTATAACAACAACAACAACAAAAAAAACAAAAGTTGAAGAAAATAATAATTACTCCTAATTGGGGGGAAAAATTGCCTAAGGAAAATTTAGCTATTCTCCATAAGTAATCAGATTAGCATTTTGCTAAAAAGTCAAACCAAAACCTTTAAGCTAACGTACATCATATATGATCATGGGTCCTTTCAAACTACTAGTGCTAACATGCCAAATATAATGCAATCAAATATAAGTTTACAAATTCAACTTTTCTTTGGTCTTCAACCCAAAATGGTTTATTTTTCATATGGCCTCAAACAAAAGAGCATAAAGCTTAGTGCAAAACCAGTCTGCATTTGACAATCGATTGTCACTTGTTAGCAGCATCAGGAAAACAAATAACAATTCTCTAAAATCTCCTTTATAACCTGAAGAGAGAATATAAGGAGACCATTCAGATGTAAATGTAAAATTTATCCCCAGCTTACTCTGTGCCCAGCACTGGACTAGGGACTTTAACATGTTATCACAAATATTTGTCCTCCCTCTTCCCCCCTTGATAAATTCAGAAAGCTACATTTTTCAATCCTCAGTGCCCTTCAGATTAAAAAGCAAAGCAGAGCTGGGTGGGAGATGATTACAAACCAAAGAATTTCTGTGATAAACCTAAATTAAGTGTTTAAGATAAAATCAGAACCTGCCATAATATATGAAGATTCCCTCAAATGCTAAAAACGTTTGCTTCAAATGATCTGTATTTAATTCCATCTAATAACCCCATAAGAACAAACAGTATCTTTCAATCTGATCCCATTAAAGATAGGTGGCCCCAAGTGTCTTACATTCACAACTGCAAAAATATAACTTTATGACTTTCCCTACTCCAAATTTATGAAATGCATTTATTTTCCACTAACACGCTGAGGTATCTTTAAAAACAGATAATAATCTTAGTATCTTTCATACATTAGGTAGGAAAAAAATATGGTTTCATTTAGTCAAGTAAAAAGGCACCCCAAATTCTACAAATCACCAGGAAAATTTTAAAAAGAAATTTCAACACTGGTTGGATAGTAAAATGGACTGTTCTTTATACAAACTAATGATCATTTGAGGCCTTCCCCAAATGAAACAATATTTTAAGGAGCTACTCTCTGGAGACTTGGGTTGTGTTTCAACTCCTAAAAGGCGCTGCAGTTTTAAAAAGTTAATCTTACAGGAATCCTCCTGGAAGTCAACAATATTGAAAAAAATATTTTAACATTAGTTGCCAAGTATAATTTTTTCCCCTCCGAAAGACACCTTGTGGTGACAACATAGTTTCCATGGAGGCATGAAATTTAAACTTGTTATACTGTATAAATAAAAAATAATATGAAACAAAAAGGGCTTTTTGTTGTTGTTGTTGCATAATTTGATTAAGTCCTGGGACTTAATTCCAAATCTTTACCATGGAATTCCAAATAGCAGGGAAAGAACATTTGAAAATAAGAGTTAACAATAGATCATCGCCATTTTCTACACAGAGAGAAGTATTTACATTTTAACTCAGTTCAGTCAGTTGGGTGTTAAGGAAGCATAAAAAGGCAAATACGGTAATAGCGTGAATTATAAACAGACGTGGAAAGCTGCCTATTAAGATGGTTAATGGCAAAACTGAAAATGAAAATAAGGCATACCGTCATACTTCGTATAACCAAGAGTCAAGGAATCTAGGTTAAAATAATAAAAAATGAGTAAGACAGCCATGTTCTTACAAAAAGAAAAAAAAAAAGTGGAACGGAAAGAAAAGATCACAAACATTTTAAGGCAACCATGGGGAAAGATTGCTTTACGCCTCCACTGTTTACTAACATTTATAGCATTTCTAGTCAACACCTGGGTTTGAAAATAGCAGCAGCACGGAAACATTGTCTTTTCCAACGTAAACCCAACAGAACATCCTGCAACGTTTTGAATAGTAAACATTAACCAGAATAAAGCACCCTTCGCGTATATCCACCTTTAAGAACCAATGGGAAAAATTAAGACCTTTCTTTCTCCCATATATAGCCTTAGCCCCTCTCTCCCCTCTTTTATTTATTGCCCTTGTCGCGGGGCTAATGAACCCTAAACTTCTTTTTCTTCTTCCCATTAATGGAAATGAGGGGAAAGAGCAACGAGAGAGGGAAACCCAGATGACAGGGAAAACTGGAAATTAAAAATCGTGGCGTTTCTTGCTGGGTGAAGGCTAGGAACACCCTAAAGGTTTAGCAACAGAGAGACAATCCTGGAAAGACCCCTCTTAACGTATACTTTAACCCCAAGGCAACACCGTTTTTCGTCTGTTTAATTTCTGCTTTTGAAGGGGATGGCAGTTCTCCCGGATGAATCTCCCCGGGTGCATGCCACCCCCCCCGAGCCCCCTGCAGCAGGGGTTGGGGGCTCTCGCCCCAGCTCTGAATTTGCAGCGAGGCCCGGAAATCGGTCCCGTTACAGCCGATTTCACCCATCAGGAATGCGCTCCACCCCCACTGCCTCCCGCGGCGGCCGCCCTCGGTGTCGGCAGCTTCAGCGGCCCGGGAAGTGCTGCAGGGGAGCGCCGCCTCGGCCCGTCACAACACTGCTGGGTTAGCCGCCGACTCCACAGACTGTGCGGGCCGGGAGGGCAGAGCTCGGGGCGGATCCCACGCTCCGCCTCAGCCTGCGCGGCCCAGGGGGCGCCAGCGCCGGGTCCGGGCGGGGGACGCGGTACCAGCCCGAGGCCTGACCCCCGGGCCCGGCCCCAGGACCGGCCCCGGCCCCGGGCCCTGCTCCGGGGCAGAGCCCGAGAGGGGGCGCCTTTCCCGTGGGATTTCTGAATCCATTTCCGTTCCGGGGAGGGGCGCGAGGACAGCGGCCGTGCCGGAGCGCCTCGAGTCGGAAACGGGAGCCGCCCCTGTCCTCCCGCACCCAGGCGCAACCTCTTCCAGTGCCGCCCGTACCTTCAACTCCTCAGAGCGGCGGCGGGTGCCGGAGTGCGGCTGAAGAGGCCCATCTCGCGGCGGCGGCGGCGGCAGAAGCCGAAGGAAGTACCGAGGAGGGCTCCTCAGACCCGCCGAGACGCCTCTCAGCTGGGGCGGGGGGAACGCAGAGGAGGGGTCCCGACGGACGCTTTCCCGAACTCCTCCTCCGCAGTTCTGTCTTGACGGCTGTTCCCGGGAACCAGCGCCCCAACTGCCATTCTCCCCCTGCTTCAGCCCCCGCTGTCTCCGCCTCCTCCTCCTACTCCTTCCTCCCGCCCCCGGCCACCCCGCCCCGCCCCGGCGCGCCGCCCGCGTGCCGTGCGTCATGGCGTCACGCCCACCGGGCCCGCCGCGGGCGGCTCTGGGACGCTGTAGTTCGCTCGCGCACGTTCGGCCCGGCCCGTCGTGGCGCGACCTGGCCCGTCGTGGCGCGTCCCGCCTGCGACCTGGTGGCTTAGAGGGCAGCGTCCCGTTCGTCCCTTACGCGGGCAGGTCAGCTCCCCTTTCTGCCCCTCGGCAAGCAGCACTTCGCCTCGAGCGGGCGGGGCTGTGGAGCAGGTGTCGCCTCCGAGGATGGGTGGGGTGGCTGGAGCTGCTCCCGACGCGGTGGTAGATGCTGGACTTGAGGACCCCGGCTTTTGGCATTCCGCACGCCATTTATTATTCGTTTCTTTGTGTTCTCACGGTTCACCTGTTAGGTTGGCGGCCCCAGGGGGAGCAAGGCCGGGATGTTGCTGCGAGTTTCTGCTCCTTTCCGCGTGGAAACGTCTTCCCCGAGAGTGGCGGCGCTCCCACCTCTTCGTTCTTAAAATTTGAAGAGACCTCATTCTTCCGCAGGGGCTGCTAGCCCTAGCACTTAGCCACGATTTAATACCCTATGTGAGGGTGCAGAGACTATCTACCACTCGTCTCTTCCTCTCCCCCACATCTCTTAATTTCACAAAGTCGCTTAAGTATCCAGAATTTATACTTCAATACTTACGGATACATTCTGAGTTACATTAATCCAGCTTTATCTGTTCCATCCCCTCTTATCCTTTAAGCCAGTCATACATCTTTGAATTTTTCAACCTTCGTATGGTTTAGTATCAGTTCTTTTTAGTTGAATAAACATTCAGTACAGACCCGGTCCATTCCTTCATACTTGATTTCAAGATTTAGAGTCACTTTTCCTTGGAATACTGAAAAACGGAATGTGATGGATGCTGGACAGAATGTCCATTTGCCATCTGTTCCTTAACTAAACATATCACCCTATCAATCCTTGTTTTAGTGTGTCTCATTGAAATTAGAAACAAACCAAGGAGCCATGGTCTTTCAGACAGTACTTGGTATCTTTGGTAACCCAGTAAATGTTTACCAATTAGAAAACTAAACAAGCTAAGCAGTTTAGGTCCAAGTCTTTTTTTTTTTTTTTACCACAAATCTTAAAGGAAGTCATGATGGGTATGTTTATTTTCATTTATTGGAAGTTTTAAGGCTGTTATATATTCCTTTAAATACTACCTGAAGGCTGCCTACAATTTAATCAATGGAATACTTTGTACAAGTAGTACAAGAATAGTATAAGTTAAATGGATTTATGGAACAGTACTCATACATAATATAATCCTTAAGAATATATCAACATGTTGAACATTTCAGAACAGATGGGGCATTGGCTTGGAAGGAGGTTTTGAGGAAAGAGGCTGTGCAAAGTGGAAATGGTCTTGTACTCTGTACAATTGTCATCTTTTCCAGAGATGCCTTTTCCCACTTCTTGAAAACTAGAGGGATTTCCTACTCTTCACTAAGGCAACATCTATTAAAAACCACAACAAATATCTATTGAACATCTCCACTTGGATCCCCACGGGTACCTCAAACTCAGCCTGTCTCCAGGTGATTCCAGTGCATAGCCATGGTTGAAAACCACTGCTGGGGCCTCATCATTTCTCACCAGATTACTGCAAAAGCATAATAATTGGCCCCAGGTGCCTTGATTTTTGGCAGTATTCTCCTTTCTTTCCCTACTCTCTTCTAATTCATTCAGAATCAATTCAGTAAATATTAATTGAGTGCCGTGTGTGTGTGTGTGTGTGTAGGGGGGAGAGTTTCCCAGAAACTGGGAATACAGCAATAAAAAAGACAGCCCTTGTATCTGGTCTCATAGAGCTTACAGTCTAGAGGAGTGGGGTGGCACAGTTGGGAAAGGCAGAAAAAACAAAGAAATAAAGGAAAGGAAATAAATTTACCTGTGTGACATATAGAAACCAGGGAAGCTGTTACCTTAGTTTAGCGTCTCAAACTAAAGTTTACTCCTCTGACATTTGCGCTGGGTTCTACAAGACAAGAAGGAGGCAAACAAGTTAAGGGGTGGAGAAGGTAAAGGGAACAGCAGGTGCAAAGGTCCTTCCAAGACAAACTTGCCAAGTTCAAGGTAGCTAGAGGCTGAAGCATAGTGGGTAAGAGGTTGCCACAATTGATTTACTTTTCTTTGTATACCACATGGGATCAGAGAGGTATGAGGAAGCCAGATTATTAAGACATTTTGAGATCATGGTAAGGAGAATTCTAAATGGCTGGTGTGATGTGCAGTTAGACACAACAGATTTTTAAGTGGAATGACACCTGATTTACCTCTGGAAAGGATCACTCTGGTTGCTCTGGGGATCAGATTGTGGCAGAGCAAGAGTGGAAGCAGGGAGATCAGTTATGAGGCTACTTCAAGAATCCAGGAAAGAAATCACAGTTCTTTGGACTAAGGTGGAGACAGAAGAAAATGGTTTTGGTATTTGTTTTAGAGGCAGAATTGGTAAGACTTGGCTTGGAATGGAGTAAAAGCAGGGAATAAGAGAAAGAGAACAATGCAGCTACTCTTTATTGAATACATGTTACCTGACAGGCACTGTTCTAAGTGCTTTATAAGTATTAAGCCATTTAATTATCGTTAAGAGTCCCAAAAGATAAGTACTATTTTTTTAAAGATTATTTATTTATTTATTTATTTGAGAGAGAGAGCACGCACAAGCAGGGGGAGTGGAAGAGGGAGAAGCAGACTCCCCGCTGAGCAGGGAGCCAGGACCCTGGGATCATGACCTGAGCTGAAGACAGATGCTTAACTGACTGAGCCACCCAGGCGCCCTAAGAGAGGTACTATTTTTATCCCATTAACAAATTAGGATCTGAGGCTTGAGAGGGTAAGTAATTTGCCCAAAGTTACATAGCTGGTAAGTGACAGAGCTGGGATTTGGACCACGCAGGCAAGGTAGTCTGGCTCTACAGCTCATACTCTTTATCCACCCAACCATAGCCCCCTCCACTGGTGTCACAAAGTGAAATTTTCAGCCACATGAAACTACTTACAATACCACAGATCCTTTTTTCTTTCTCCCTTTCTCTCTTCCTTCTTCTTTCCTCCCTCTCTCTCACACATGAGCCTTTACTTTTCTTTGTACATGCTGTTTACTCTGCCTAGAATGCCCTCTCCCCTTCTCTGCCTGGCTCAAGCTAACAACCTTTGCTCATCCTTGCAGGCTAGGTCAAACCCATTTTCTCTGTGCTTACCTCCAAAATTTTCTATGTAAAGTGCTTCACTATTATTTGTAGGTCTTTCCCACTAGATTTTGAAGGCAGCTGGCTTGAAGCCTAACACATAAGGGAGAGAGCAAAGGGGTCTTCCCTGGGCATTGAGAGAGGCAAATGTCCTTGCCTTCAAGAAGCTTGTAAACTTGACAGGGTAACAGACACATAGAAAATCATTCTAATACGAAGGCCAAAAGTGTCATAGAAACAATATGTTACAGGACAGGACATTGGAGGCAAGAAGCTTGGCCTAAGGGTTGTTTCACTGGAAAAAAATGCAAGCAGAAATGAGAGTTTGGGGCTTTATTCTCCCCCATCATTTAATATGGCTTGGGGAGGCAGTCTTGGGACCTCATCCAGGAAGTCTTGGGAGATTCTCAGTTGCCACAATTGATTCACTGGAATGTGCTACTTCCTGACTTTTCACTTTGACCTGTCCCTGTGTGAGTAAGTGTACTGATCTCAAGTTGGTTCAGTTCCCTACCCGGCAGGGTCATAGACATTTCTTCTTATACAAGTCCCTCCTTTTTCTCATGTATGAGGTTTCAGAGCTTGGGTTCTAGCTGTGGGACCTTGGGAAAATTACTGAGCTCCTGTGACCCACAGTGTTGGGCCCAGTGTGTAAGGCTTGAGGGTTTTGCCTGCATGACCACAAGGGGTGCCACTGACACGGACCACACTGTGCACAATGCCTCATGGATGTGCTTCACAGTGGCCCTCCTCAACATAACCCCTCATAAAATAGGGGGGAAAATAGTTCCTACCCCATTGGGTTGTTCTCAGGACTAAATGAGTAAAAGCAGATACAGCTCTTAAGCTTGGCATGTAGTAAACCATCAATAAATACTAGGTGCTTTTACTATGTAAAGGGAAGCTGACTAGAGTGGGAGTTAATCCAGCTAGGATTTTAAAAATGGGGCCATCTGCATCCCTGCTCAGGTGGTTCTCTTAATTGTTAGGGCCATATAGGGAATCTGGAGAGGAAAGGACTTTTCTCTTCCAAACTGAGAAACCTAGGCCCCTCAGTGGAAAAATGCTTCAGGTGGCTGAAAGCTGAGTTGCTCGGATCCACCTCTTCTCCCTGCTCCATCTCTCACTCACCACCTTCCGCAGGGGAAATGGCACCATATGCTCCCCAAAGCCAGCCCAAGGTACTCTTTCTTGTGGGAAGACTAGACTCCCCGAAGGGCTATTAATCAGCTTTTAGGGTGGTATTTCTCAAAGTCCAGGCTCGAACCACCATTGCCAGCATCACCTGGAGCACCTGTTAAAATAGACTCCTGGGTTCCATCTCAGACTTACAGAATCATCATCTGTGAGGTTGGGGTCCTGGAATCTAGTTTTTAACAAACTCTCCAGCTAATTCGTATTACATGTTTAAGAACTACAGCTTAAGAGCTTCAGCCATTATGATAATATCCCAACTTCAAGCAGTTTTCTTCCACAGGATCTCTCATTGGGCTCTTTAGGAAGGAGGGTATCTCATTCCTTTTCAAGGGACCCATCCAGTTACCTACAGTCTGATTCTTTCTCCCTCCCACCCATTAACAGAAGTGATATCTCCTTTAACCTCTTGGTGGAGACTGGATCCTCAGGCCACCATTACCCATTGCTTATTCCAGTCTTTCTTAATTACATTTCCTATTTGTTTGATTCATGAGTTAGCCTACCCTGAATGGGTCACCTGGGCTAGAAATCCCCAGAGCCCCCTAAAACTAGAGCTGATTAGACTTACTGCATGTGGGACAGGGTGAGTTTGGCTGACTAGGTCCACAGTGGTGGGTTGCACTGGAAGCAGGATGTCAGTGGGTGATGAGCAAGGACTTAAAATGACCATATGTCCCAGTTTGCTCAGAAAAATCCTGGCTTATACCTGTTGTGGAGGCTTAATTATTGATGGTACTCCTTTCACCCTCAAAGAATCCTGGGTTAGACACATTATATCATCAGCTTGGTAATGAGCCTCACGTCAAAACCAACAGTTGCTACCCTTTAGCAACTTGTGTCTAGCCCACCCTCTTCCTACCTTCCCAGTCTCCAATCCCATGCCATGACTCCTTCCTCTCAGATTTCCTTAATGAATTTACTTTGGTGTAATACTTTGGACTTACATTAAGGGATTTATAAGAAAGCACCATGAAAATTGTTGCTATATTTACTCTCTCTGACTGTATCTGGAAAATGTTTTCCTTTGATTTTAGCACCTGGAATAGTTATGTTTCCCTTTTCCCTTGTTTATTATCCCCATTTGTTTTGTCTTCTGGATACCTAATTGTGGAACTGAGAGTATTTCTCTTGGCTATGAGGAAGTTTAGAGCTGTATTATGTGGCCTCCTTCTGGCCTGTATATAAGACTGAACAGGATGCATTTTACCTACTTAAGTCAAGAGTCACTGTTTCCATTTCTTCACTAACTTCAGATTTAATTTCTCTGGTGTGCTATGTTGTATGTATCCATAACTCATCTTTCATCCTTCTTGAAACAAGGCAGGTATTAAAAAATGTGTATGAACACATGCCCACAAACTGGTACTGATTGCTAATTATATAACTGAAAG